AGTTTAGATTTCTGAACATTTTTTAGAATTTTTAAAAAATTGGATTTTTTTGAAAATTTTGAATCTACAGAAAAAAATGAACTTCTAAGGGAAAAAGTATAGTAAAAATATAAAAAAGGAGAGAAAGGAACAGAAAACAATAGAAACAACATAAAAAACGAAAACGAGGTGGCGCAGTATTTTCCACACATGCTGCTAAATAGGATTTTCCAGCTACGTGGGCAGGAAATCAGTGGGCTTGCATTTTGGGGCACAGCATGCGCGGCTGATGTACGAAATTCTGTATATATCGTTTTCCTTTTCTAGCAGGCGCACAAAAATTTAAGACCACCTTGGATCGAACAAAAAAATATTCGGCAGTGAACGGATGAAAAAATCAGAGAAATGGACCTTGCTTTATTAGTATTAGCATTAGCATTTATTAATTATTATTATTAGTAGTAGTAGTAGTACTTTTATTATTACTATTATTATTATTATTACTACTACTATTATTATTATTATAGAAGATTAAGAAATAGTGATCAATCCCATCAAAATAGAAAAGGAAAGGTGACCAGGAAATAAAAAGGACCAATATTTTACTTGTAGCAATGAGTTCTCTGCATTCCTTTACTGCGGCCATTTCTTCAAAGGCAACGGCCGAAAGCTATGTTACCGCAGGGTAGCCTCCATCTGCACGCCATAAGTATGTACGCACTATGCAATCATTCCCTAAAAAAGTATATCCCCAGTCTACTGTTCCTTATTTGAAATGCATAATTACCAGAAGGTGGTGGTAGTGAGTACATCAATCTAGCTACTTTCATATTTTTACGGGAACAATTTTGGCATAATATCAAGGAAAGGCTGGCCTCAACAGTTAAATGTGCAATAGTTTGTTTTTCTCCGTCCATGAACATGGTCTTCTTAACCATTGCAGTAGCAGTTTGGACTTTGGAGTTCAACAGCAAAAAATCTAGCAGTGTCAATTTTGTAAGCAAGCTTCTGAATTTTACCTTTGGTAGCAACTGACAAGTGGATAAGCCCATTGCTTGCACAATGTCAATTGCTGAACTGACAGTGTTCTTAACATTATTCACATCAGCCTCCAAGAGGTACAGATAAGCGCCATTTAAGTTTTTTATTGATAAAACGACATAGAATAGTACTCGAAAGAAACATGTTCATCACGTAGACTAGTTAGCCTTTCCCACTATGAGCCATGATACGTATAGGTATTGTGATTTCAAATCTGAACAGCACTTTCATGTTACCTTTGTACCTCCTGTGATTGGGAGACACAGGGTACTCACTTTAAGCGCTTCCGTTGCACCAGACAAAGCACTAGAATAATCTGTTTCAAACGATGCCCAGCAATTGAGGTAGTCCATCTGCATCTTGATAACAAAATATGCAAGTAGCGACCAAATTTAAAAGGCAACCAGAACTTCAACACACAGTATTAGCTTGCGGCGAACATTGATGCAACATCCACACATGTTTCCTTGTGAATTTTAGACTAGCTGTCAAAGTAACATAATTGCATAGCATGATAATTGAAATGACAACAAAACTTGCTTGTTCTTTCAAAAGCATCTCTAGTTTGACCTCGTGTCCTGCCTAAGCCTTTACACATTATTCCTTTTCTTAACAAGAGAGTCAAGCATTTTCCAAGTGGTAAGTTCTTATTATGTAGGAGGCGTAACTGATGGGCATCTTCCAAGTGGCTTGGGCTCACTTTTCTTAATCTTGTAGCATCAACAACGTAGCTATTACTAGATGATGGGGCCTTGGATTTTTTACCGTATGACGATGCTGATCTGCCGCCAACAGATGGAGTGACCGGTCTATATATAGAAATGAGCATCGAATTTATGAACATTTTCAAATGAGCGATCACTGGTTGATGGTGATCATTTTAAAAATTTATGGAATCATTTAAAAAATATGAACGTGTCAAATGAGCAAACTTCTCATAAATTCATGAACTTTATTTTGAATCCAACCTTTCCAAATGCATGAACGTTTTAAAATTTACAACTCTCTGCAAATTTTGCGAATTTTTTAAAATCCTTGATTTTCTTTCAAAATCCAATATTTTTTTCGAAATGTAATATTTCTCAAATTTTAAACTTTTTATATTCATGAACTTTTTATCAAATCATAAGCTTTAAAAAAATAAATGAACCTTTTCCAAAATACAGGATTTTTATTTCTATCAAAATTAAGAATTTAACGGGAAAAGTTGGATTTTTCGTAAGACAACAAACCGAGCAAAAGATGAGCAGAAAAAAACCCCAGTGAATAGACGTAGCGAGTAAAGATTGATTTTAGGTAGAAGCGAGCGATACTGAGCAAGCAGCACAGCGACCGAGCGAGTGAGGAAGCCGAAATCTTTACTGTGGAATAGAAATCATACGTACCCCGCGAGTGACTCGTCCTTCTGTATGGGCCGCCACATGTCAGATTTATTCACCCACCAGTTTTGGGGAAGGTTCTGGAACCTTCCCCCAACCTCTTTTCTTCCTTCTTCCTTTTATTTTCTGTTCTATTTTTTCTTTTTCTTTGTTCAAATTCGCAATATTTCTAAAAAATAATGAATACGTTTTCAATTGATGAAAATTTGAATAATAACAAGCAATCTTGAAATTCATGCGCATTTTTAAAGTTGTGATTATTTTTTGTTCGAATTTGACAAAAAAATGAAATTCATGAAATAAATTTGAACTATTAACCTTTTGGAATTCGAGGATATTTTTAAAGAATCTGTAAACATTTCTCACACTTTTGAACTTTTTTGAAATTACAGAAGAAACTTCAACTCACTTTTTTTATGCACATTTTCCTGCATTCACCAAGAGTTTTTTGAAATTGAACATTTTCAAGCTCATGAACATTTATTTGAATTCATGAATATTTACCTATTCCTGAGCATTTTTTGTATCCATAAAATTGTTAAATAAATTCATCAACATTTTCTGAAATCACGAAGAATATTCAAATTTGAGAACTTTTTAATGTTGCAGAATTTGTTTTGAACTCACGAACATTATTCAAATTTGAGAATATTTTTAGAAAGTGTGATTCTAGAAATTATAATTTTGTTTTCAAATCCCGAAACAATTTTTAGTGAAGCAAAAAAGTAAAATAGAAAAGAAAGAAAATGGGGCCGATCTAGCTGCTCGGCTCACCTGGCTTTGTTTTTTCTCTTCTGCACTAGCTTCTGGTTGTGTGGATGTGTAAAAAGTACATGAGTTCAAAAAAATATTCATGGTTTGTGAGTTTAAAAATATGTTACGAATTCGAAGAAAGTTTGTGAATCCGAAAATAATTCGTGAATTGGAAAAATGTTCATGAATTTTTAAAATTTCACAAATAATATATATCTATAAGGGCTTTCTGCACTAGTGTAATGAATATCTACTAGCGCTGCGACCAGTAGTATATAAGGTTCACAAGCCGGATGTTCAGATAATGTTTAGGTATGGTTATGACGATCTATTGATTTTAAAGATCTCAAAGGACAATGGGAAAATGATGTTCAGAAATAAAGTTGGCTGAGATTACTTGGTCCTCACCCCGCAAAAAAGAAGAAGAAGAGATTACTTGGTCCTCGGAGTGGATGTGCGTCCCCACTGTATCTTTGGTGTAAGATTCTACGGACATAAATTGGGCTCTTCTCTTTTTCAACAAAGAGTTAATTTTATTATTCAAAATGGAGCATAAAGAGGATACATAACAGAATGTGCATATCCGACCTTTGCGTAGTTAGTATACACGCATCCAACATCAACACATAAAAACACGCCAACACCTAGAGCCATGTAAGAAGTGTAACACCCTTTTCCAGAAAAAATGTAAGAATTGTGTGTGGGCGAAGAAAGAAAAAAAAAAAGGCCCCAAAGCGATTAGATACGCGATTGCCAAACTGCGGCAAATGACCGTATCCACACCAATCATCTTATGACGCCACATGAACAATGAGATTTTTCAATAGCAAAGCCTTTAGGAAGGATGCAACACTCAAGCATTGTCGTCACCGGATTCAACCACCAAGGCCAGACTCTAGTGTTTCACCCCGAAGAATCAATCCGAGCAATGCCTTCAACAAGGCGACGACATAAAAAACATCACCATTACTAGGTAGAGCCAGCTTGAGTTAGACCTAGGCTTTCACCCTGGAGCTCGTTACCATGGGCTGGAGTAGCACCACCATCAAAGTCATTAAAGTGTGCATAGTAAAAAAAAAGAGTCATTAAAGGGTTGCGATCATGCGATGTGACCGCCACCACTACACAACCATCACTCTGCGTCAAGCCTTCGTACATAATTTGACCATCGAAGTCAATCACTGGACCTTGAGAGATGAACACTCCCAAAGATCTCTTGGTGACCACCGCTGCCGTGGAGCCATAGGAGGCCAATGCAGTGCAGTCACCCTCTTGACTTGGATCACCACCACCAAGCACCATCTGACAACGACCATCTGAGCTCTGAACTAACGTTGGTTAGATCCATGCAGTCCAAGGACCCTCACACTAGATCTTTCACATAGGGCACAGAAGGCCTTGGATCGCCTCTTTGCCAGATCTGTGGTTCGGTGGCTTCGACGAGCCCGTGCGAACGTTGGGGTCCCTACTCTAAGCAGCAGGTCAAGATCTCCACACCCATAGCCGGTGGCCACACCGGAGGGCTGGTGAAGACGACACAATAGCTGGCCGTGGCCTCCCAAGCCTCTAGAACCATTGGCGCATGATGAAGCATGTGGAGATGATGGCTTGGAGGACGCGGGGGACGAGGGGGAGGAGAGGAGACGGGGGTGGCAGCGATTGGGTTCTTCTTCTTAAAATAAGATGTGCACGATCTTCCCTGTCGAATTTCTTTTGCAAGATGTTGTACAAACATTATTATGAAAAATTATTAAACATGACACATTTAGGGTATTGTTATAAATTCCATCAGGTCTTCTGAGTGCACTCATGATCATCGTCAACGAGTCCTCATATATCTGGATACAGTTATGATGATCTATTGTATAACTCAAAAGGGGAGTGTGCTGCCAGAAACTTTTTAAGATAGCGGTTGTAGACACACGGCCTCTCTAGTTGGGCTAGATGCCCCGCCTTGCTTATTGTTTGCAGTGTCGCTTTCTCGCCTAGCTCCCTGCACCCATTATTTCTGACTTAGTAAATCTATTCTGGGCCTGGAGAAAACAAAAAGATGAAAGTGCGTACATAGTGGAAAATCCTTTTCTGAGCCCGGGCTCAGCTGCACCCGTGTTGATTAAAAAATCAAAATAAATACTAGAAAAATTTAAAAAAATTCATTTTTTTTTCTCATGGTAGAAAATTGGATGCGTGAGGTCCGCCCCAATTTTCAAGTCAGTTGAACAAATGAGCAACTCTCGGCAAAAAAGATAAATTTGACATCTGTAAAACAGTTTACTGTTCATATACTGTATTGATCCAATTTGTCTTTTTTGCTGAGAGCGCCTCAGATGTCCAAATAAGCTAAAATTTGGAGCGAATCTCACACAACAAACTGTCCACGATGAGAAAAAAATTGAATTTTTTTTGAATTTTTCTAGTATTTTTGTGATTTTTTTCTGGCTGGGTGCAGATGAGCCTGGGCACCGAATCGCTGCACTCATACGTAGTGGTTTTCTTACTCTTTCAAACTCTCCCCATCCTCTACGGGGAAGAAGTTGTCATTCTCGCCCCACAACAAGAGTATATTCTGCATGCAAGCTAGTTGTCAGAGACATGTGATTGATGCTTATGTATACAATCGACAAGATATCTATCTGACCGCATCACTCATCAAACATATTATGAATGGAATGTTAGTTAAGAAAAGGAAAAAAACATTACACTCTGCAATTTGGAAGAAGGAAATGGCGCCTATACCTGGGTGCCTTAGATGTAGTCACTTCACTATATCTTCTATATCTAAATAGTTAGCCCCCGCTACTAGATTTCTTTACATATGCGTGCTTCCACATCACCTTAATTATTTACAGCTTTTCGATCAAAATCATGTGGCATCAAGAAGTCATACATGTGCTCATAAGTTACTCTTTGCATTAATGTAAATCATGCCACCTCACTAGTCATGCATGTCTTTTTTTTAACGAATGCATGCACTCAATTACATTTTTGCATTAGTCTATCAACTAAAACAACGCCACTTTATCAATCATGCCTTCTTTTTTGGGGGGGAGGGGAATTTTTTCCTCTTTTATACATTATTTTGTCACACACATCATTTATGTTTTATCATTTTAAATATGTAAAACTCTTATATGTTTTTCATTGGTTTTATTTGGTTTTAAGCACCTGTTTATGCATTGGTTTTAACACAATTCCCGCGGCAACGCGGGGAGCATCTTCTAGTTTAATCTGTTCCTACGTATTATTACTGAAAACAGCACCAAGAATCTGCTGAAAAAAACCCTGAAAAAACCTGCTGAAAAACAGGCGCCGATGCCTCTTTGCCCCTCATGTTCACCATATCGTCCAGCATCTCGGCTCTCTCCTTTCGGTTGTTACACATCACCTGCACCCACCATGAACAATTGAGCATACTTCTTACTACAAGACTAACAACTAAGACAACAAACCTTACGTTCTTCCGATTATATACTGACCTTGAGGAAGTCCTTGACAAGGCGACGGGGAAACCACATCTTCATGTGCATGGCGGAGGAGAACAGCAACCTGAGCTGTTCCACCGTCTCCGGCAGCATGAGCTCCGTGATCGACCGGGCGCCGGCGTTTTTTTCAAAAAGGAGGAAAAACCCCGGCCTCTGCATCAGCATGATGCATACGGCCCTCTTATTAAAAAATAAAGTAGTGCCAACATGGTTTCAATGGTCGTAGAAAAGTAGAAAAAGCTCACACAGAGCCAAAAAAGGCTAGAAACAACAACTAGCCAAATCAAGATGCCACAACCGGCTGGGTGAAGTAGATAGGAACACTAAATGCCTATCCTATTACATGACCGCCATCCAAATCGGTTGAAGATATCCCGAGCTACCATCTCCCAGCGGACAGACCCAGTAACCAAATGCTCCCTGGCCTCCGTCTGGGTGATTGGCGACCACGAACGAATCAGTGCCGTAGTCCGGAATAAAACCTGCAAAAAATGTATACATGATATTCTGTTAAAGACCAAATCATTTCTGCAATTCCAGATAGTCCACAGCAAAGCACAAGCCCCAACCCGAATATGTCTCGCTACGTTAGACTCAATCCCATTAAGCCATGTCCCAAAGAACGCATAAACAGAAGTCGGGGGTTTGATATTGAAAGCAATGTGGACCGTCTGCCAAAGTACCTTGGCCAGCGGGCAATCAAAAAATAGGTGTTTAATAGTCTCATCCCGATCGCAGAAACTACACCTAGTAGGTCCTGTCCAATTACGCTTCATCAAGTTATCCTTAGTTAAAATTACTTGTTTATGGACAAACCACATAAACACTTTTATTTTCAAAGGAACTTTGACATCCCACACATGTTTGGGCGTAGGAATGGAGTTCGAATTAATTACATCAATATACGTTGATTTAACCGTGAATACTCCAGACTTAGTCAACTTCCAGCGTAATTCATCGGGTTGTTGAGAAAGCTGGACTTCCATCAGTCTCCTAACCAGACGGAGCCATTCTTCCCAACGATTGCCCGCTAGCACTCGTCTGAACTGTATATTAAGGGGGATAGATTGAAAGACCGATGCAACGGACAACTCACGTCGTTGAACAATGCGGTACAAAGAGGGATATTGGATGGCTAAGGGTGTGTCATCGAGCCAAGTATCTTCCCAGAAACGTGTACTCGTGCCGTTTCCAACAACAAACTTTGTCCTATTAAACAAAGCCTGCTTGACCTTCATGAGACCCTTCCAGAAAGGCGAGTCGGTAGGCCTTACTGTGACCTGTGACAAGGTTTTTGATTGGAGGTACTTGCCGCGAAGGATTTGAGCCCACATAGCATCATTTTCCGACGAAAGCTTCCACAGCCACTTGCTAAGAAGGCATTTATTCTTAATTTCGAGATTCTCAATACCTAGACCCCCTTGGTCTTTCGGTCTACAGATGATATCCCACTTAGCAAGCCTATATTTTCTTTTAAGCTCATCACCCTGCCAAAAGAACCGCGATCTATAGAAGTCCAGTCTCTTCCTAACACCAACTGGTACCTCAAAGAACGAGAGAAGAAACATCGGCATACTTGTGAGCACCGATTTAATTAGGATTAATCGGCCTCCATATGACATGAGCTTGCCCTTCCAGCAGCTCAGTTTCTTCTCAAATCGGTTCTCGATGCACTTCCATTCTCTGTTCGTTAGCCTACGATGGTGGATAGGAATTCCCAAGTATGAGAATGATAGCTCTCCCAACTCACATCCAAACAATTGCCTATAAGCAGCCCGCGTGCCTCCCCAACAAGGCGTCCTTCATGGCGTCCGTGTACGTGACGGTGCAGCCGGAGACGACAACGGAGTGGACGAGGCCTGGGCACGCCGCGGCCATCTCGAAAGCCACGAATCCGCCGTAGCTGAACCCGACGACAGTGCAGGGCCCCGCCACGCCGAGATTCCGCAGCGCCGCCGTGAGGCATCGCGCCTGGAACGCCACAGAGCGGTCTGGCGACCGCGACGTGGAGCCGCCGAAGTGGACCAGATCGGGGACATAGACGTCGTGGCCGCACTTGGCAAGGGCGCCCACCTGGAACCCCCATGTCATCATGCCGTCGCCGGCGAAGCCGTGAACGAGCACCACGGGGTGGTGCTGACAGTGATTCATGCGCGATGCCTTGTTGTGGTTGGGCAGCCAGAAGTTGATGACGGTGCCGTCCTCCTCGTCCACGGCCACGGCATGCTGCCGGAGGCCAGCGTTCGTTGCCAGACGGGCCACGAAGTGCTTCCTTAGCACCTCTACCCAGTTCACCATCCTAGATACTGGACGTACGAGCTTGTTTCTTGCTTAATGGCGGCTGGCACTTTTTTTTCTTCTGACAATTCGCTTTTGAGGTTAGCTAACCACTATTGTCATGTGGTATGGCGGTTGGCACTTTAATTTGTGGGCAAGAGCGAGCAGTAATCGCCGTTTGTTCTGTGTAGGACTGTGAGTTACACATGAAGAAATGACAACAAAGTACCCATTTTTTCTCTCGCCCACAGATTATTTTGGATTTTTTTGAAGTTCAAACTTTTGAAAAGCTTCCATTTTAGAAAGTTTGAAAATTTCAGAAGTTCTAACCCTCTTTTTTTCCTTAAAAAAAGGCCAACTTACGCACATATTTACACAACGTCTACTGAATTAATCTAAATCGGTATTAACAAATTTAAATTACCTCTAGCACCATCTAATGTGCTTCCTTTTGCTATCAAAATTTCCAGACAAAGTCAGAATTTTTTGGTTGGAGAGTTGCGGCGAATACGTTAGCAACAAAAGAAAATAAACGCAAAAGAA